ATCATGCAAAAGTGAGCAGAGACAGGGCCCATGAAATCACAAATAGAACGTGTTTGCTACTGTTTCACCTGGTCACCCATCCAGGTGTCTTGTGTTTAGTCTAAAAGCCATACAGAAAGACAAAATGGAACATGTTTGGGGTAGGGATGAAGAGAGTGAGGTATCTGGCATCCTACATGAGAAGGAGGTTGAAGGAAACATGGGTAAGATCAGATACCATTTGGGTTTTCAGCTGCTTGAAGAGTTGGCTTGTATAAAAAAGGACACTATATCACATATTGTCTTAGGAATAAGACACAGGAGGCCTTGTATGGAGAAAACTGCAGGGGCTTCAGCCAGAGCAAGAAAATACCTACTGAAGTCTTCTGAGTACCCTTTCCCCATGCTCTCTATAAAGAGAGTAACTCCACACACTATGATATAGAGGAGATCAAACACAGTAAAGCATAAGCCAGCAATTTGCAAATTGTGTTTCCAAACTCTGGCTGCTTTTAGTTGGAAATGTGTGTGTGTGTATTTATGTATGCATGTATATATAATATATTACTAAATACATATGTACTAATATAAGATATATTATGTATATGTAGTGGTTTGAATATGCTTGGACCAGGGACTGGCACTATTAGGAGGGGTGGACTCGTTGGAGTAGGTGTGACTTTGTTGGAAGAAATGTTTCACTGTGTGAGTGGGCTTCGAGACCCTCTTCCTAGCTGCCTGGAAGACAGTCTTTTCTCCTGGCTACTTTGGATCAAGATGTAGAACTCTCAGATCCTTCTCCAGCACCAGGTCTGCCTAGATACTGCCATGCTTCCTGCCTTGATGATAATGGACTAAGCCTCTGAACCTGTAAGCCAGTCCCAATTAAATGCTGTCCTTTATAAGAGTTGCCTTGGTCATGGTATCTTTTCACAGCAACAAAACCCTAAGCAAGACAGTATATATTAACTATATATGTATTCAGATGCCATGACAGATTAAACCAATTCTCTCTGATGGGGAGGACTCAGCTATTGGTAGTTTTTAATATAATTTAATTACAATTTTTAGACAGGATCTTATGTATCTTAGGCTGGACTCAAGCTAGTTATATAGCTAAAGATGTTCTTGAAATTTGGCTTCTCCTGCCTTTGCCTCCTGAGAGCTGGGTTCTAGGCATGTGCCATCACAACTGGAGTATGTGGTTCTGGGTTTTGTACCAAGATCCTCATGCATGCTAGGCAAACCTGCCAACTAAGCTATGTCCCTGGTCCTCATTGGTAATGTTTAGAGTTACCAAGTAATTCTTTTGGTTAGCCATTGACTGGTTCCACAGAAAAGCACAGATATGAAGTAGTAAGTGGAGTCTGAGTGATTGTAGAAGTCTTGATTTGAAGCAGATCTGTGGGTCATTTCTTTTTTCAAGGCTCATTAGCTTAACATTTGGAGATAAAGGCTGCGACTGGGAAGTTTCAAAGTGAAGTCCAGAAAGCGCAGCCTATCTGCAGCACAGGGAAAGCTAAAGATGGTTTAAGGAACATCATCTTTCTCCAGGCATGTGATAAGCAATTAAGGCTTGATTAGCCATGACCCTTTCTCCTGGGAAATCCAAGATGAGACAATGAGAAGGACCCACCGATGAAGCGAAGCATTTCTGGACCTCACGGATGCCCAAGAAAAGATGCTAAGGAACCTTTCTCAATCCTTGGCAGATTCAATTATTTACGATTGTATTATTTCATCACATGATTGACTCAATCAATGTGCCCTTAAAAAATTACTGCCTAAAGTCTGGTTCTTAGTGTGGGTCACAGGACTCTGCTTGTGTCCACTTCTATGTTGTTATGTTGGCAACTGAAGCTGCCTGGTTGCAATGCTGAGCTCACTGAGCCGGCTAATGGCAGGGCTGTGGGGTGTAAAGGAAGGGCACCAGGTAGACACTCAGAAGCAAAGACATTTGGGCAGTCAGAGATGCTGAGCAAAGCTTAAAGGGAAAAAAAATAGATCCCCACAAAGCTCATACTTACCCCAGCACTCTTACCCATGACCACAGAGCAAAGAAGCCAAGCAGAAGCCCTCAGTCACAGGTGCACATGTCCCGTGACTCAGCACCTAACTCAAGGCTAATGTGGAGTATTTAGGATAAGGATGTGAGTGGTCCTATTCTGTTCTGCATGGTCAGGTCACTCCTGGCATTGGCAAACTCAGAGCTGCGTTTGGGAGTTTCAAGAGCATCAAGGTCAGAAGGTCGAAGCCTGGAAGAGTCTCAAGATGAAGACAAGCAAGCAGCTTCTGGTTCCAAGCTTCCAAAGGAAGCAGACTGAGTTGGCTTCAACCATAAGATGGACTTCAGGAGATATAAGTGTGATTTCTTTGTGTGGTTCTGAGGACAGAATTGGGCTCAGGGCCAGTCCTTATGTGAGCCAGGGAGCTACAGCAAAGATTGTTTTCCTAAAGAATTAATTGCTTACAAGGGAGGTAGCCAGTTTCCAGGTTGGGAGCATCCAAATAGAAGCATCCTGGGGGGATGCTGAGGTACAAGTAGGAAGAGCGTCTTAGGTGAGGGTCAAAGCAGTTGTCTTTGGCAGCTTTTCTAGAGTACTGGGAACCCGGGGCTGGGGAGATGAGGTGGTTGGTAAGGCAGAAGCATGAGGATCTGAGTTGGATCCCTGGTACTGTAAAATGTGGCCCATACTTTATTTTTTTAAGATTTATTTCTATGAGCACACTGTAGCTGTCTTCAGACACATCAGAAGAAGGCATCAGATATTATTACAGATGGTTGTGAGCCACCATGCAGTTACTGGGAATTGAACTCAGAACCTCTGGAAGAGCAGTCAGTGCTCTTAACTGCTGAGCCATCTCCTCAGCCCCATGGCCTATACTTATAACCCCAGAGCTGGCAAGGTAGAGCCAGGATTCTACAGATTGTTGATCAGCTAGTGAGTCCCACGCCAGTGAGAGAGACTGCCTAAGGTACAAACAGTTGGATGGCACCTTTGGAGTGACACCTGAGGTTGTCCTGTGGTCTCACACATGCACACGAATGCATTTGCACACACACACACACACACACACACACACACACACCAGGATACACGCATGAATCAAGAGGTGCATTCAAGATTTGTGTCAGTTTTCTCAAAGCCGAGTCCCCAAACCTCATGTGCTTGGGAACAGGAGAAAATTAGACACTTGTAATCATGGCAGGGATTCCTTATCTCCCTCTTCCTGGATCCTCTACTTGTGCTGACTAAGGCACATCTCCCTGCCTGATTTCCAAAGGACAACTTTTATAGACATTGCTATTGTACCCTGTGCCTACCACACGCAGTGGGGAGGGAGCTGCTGATCAAAAACGTTACAAGGACATCAGTGTCCATGGAAAATGTAGCTGTTATTGATAATTCTTTCTTTTTGTAAAGAAAACAAAGAGAAGTTTCGGGGGGTGGGGGGGAGGAACATTCCTCCAAGTTTCTGTTGACTCTGTTTTTCTGGTTAGTTATCTTCCCAAACTTGGCATTGAATCAGGTCAGGCTAGAGAAAGCCTTAGAGGACTCATTTCAGATTCATGTTCCCCAGACGGAAGAAACTAAGGCCCGAGGGCAAAGTGGTTTGTCTAAAGGCACTGGGTGCCTCTGGGCACAGCTGGGACTGTAGCCAGCCTTAGCCCACTTCTGACTAAGCCTGGACATTTCCCATTGGCTGCCACTGGGAAAGTACCAAATCACCAGAGCCTCTGGGCCTTAGGCAAGTGGAAATCTGGTTTCCTGGCTGTTCTTTATAGACGTGAAAGGGAAACTCAACCCTCGACCACAGTAGTTTCTCCTTCAAGCCAGTTTTCTTTTACATAGTTTTCAAGGCTTGCCACCCAAACTGTGTTGCCCACATTGGTTCCTTCCCAGCTTGAGAGGAATGCCAGGCTCTCGCCCTGTCTCTCGATGCACAAATGTTCCAGGGTCCAGAGTGGGAAGCTTGGCTTCTCCCCCAGGAAGTAGCATGGTGGAGGCTTCTAGGTTGTTCCTCCTTTCCAGAGATGCCGGTAACAAATGTTCCTGCTGTCAGAGAAAACAAACAAACAAAAACAAACAAAAAACCAAAACAGCTAGGGAACCTCTGAGCGCCTCTGGACACAGACCCAGGTATTTAATCAGCAGGGCTCCATGGAGAACTTCCACCATAGGTTTCTTATTCAGAAACCAGTGTGAGTGCCAAGTCTGAGACAAAATAGTTTTTGTTTAAAACTTTGTATTAGTATAACTTAATTATAATAAAGAGTTTAATAATGGCATAGTCATATATATATTCTTCCTCCCCATAATCTCTTCTCCTCTCCTCTCATGAATTTCATTAGGGTTGCTCACAGGAGCATGGAGTGAAGGGTTAGTTACAGGATATTTACAGGAACATGGACACCTTACCGTAAGTGGCTATACCACTGAAGAAAGTGGGGTCATGCACTTGGAATTAGGTGTGAGGTTGCTAGGTCCAGAGCCAGTGAAGCTCACCCTGCTTGACTGGGTCCCAAGTTCGTGGGAACTATGCTTGCTTAGGCTTCAGACACCTCAGAGACAGGGAAGACCTTTCTGGGTTACTGATGTATGATTGTCTCATTCTTAAGCCATTTCTGTTTCCCCCATCTGTCTGCCAAAGGACTGGCCGCCCAGTATAGCATTTAGGGAGCCATGTACTTCCTGTATACTTTTCCCTAGCACAATACCTGTGCCGTCTTCAATGTTTCTGTTACTCTCCTATTAAAATGGGAGCAAAGGAAGAGCGCAATAGTCGGTTAACGTGGAAAATGAACATGCAATAGGGTGGGCATCGGGTGGTGGAATCCTGAGCCTGTTTCGGACTAGGAGTCGGCCAGAGTAGTGTATGCATTCCTTTTCTCCTAAGGCTCTTCTGGTAGGGCCTGGCAGTGAGGGAATAGGGAATAGAGCAGCCACCCAAACTACTAGGGTCCCTCCGGCAACCAGCGCGGTCATTTGTGATGCCCATGCGCCCCCTGGTGCCCCCCTCTGGGTGCTGCACCTTCCCCCTCGCCCCCCCACCTCTAGGCTTCCAGAAAGCTCCTGGTGCATTCCCCAGCATTCTCTGGGCCTGAGTCACGCAGGTTTGCAGCCAGCCCCAAAGGGGGGGTGTACTTGAGCAGAGCGCTATAAATAGGGCGCTTCCCCGGTGCTCACCACCCGCGTCACCAGGAGGAGCGCACTGGAGCCAAGCCGCAGACCGGTGAGACAGCTGCACCTTTCCTGCACCAGCGCCGAAGCCACACCGGCAGGGATGGGAGGGCAAGCGTAGCTGCCAGGTGGAGAGCTGGCGCTGCCGTGGGGAAGTGGGAGGTGGCTAGAGCCCCATCACTAGGTAGCCGAACACGGGGTCGCGTGTACACGCTGGCTCAGACTCGGTAGTCCCCATGTTCTTTATTTAGCCCGGATCACAATTTTAAAGCTGTTCAAAGCCACATGCAAAGATCTTCCTTTTGCAAAAATGGGGGAAACTGAGGCTTTAAGCCCGCAGTGAGGTGCGGGAGGTGCAGGGGCGCTAGTGGCTGAGCGCAGCGAGTAGGTGCGGATCTCTGTAGTGGCTGTTGTCTTAGCGGCATGAGTCACTGCATTTGGACCTCCCTTCCAGCTCCTGGGACAGCGCATAATAAATAAGATGTTGTGCCGCAGACATCCAGACCTGCTTTACTGAGCTGAATGCATGCATTTAATTCTTTAGAGAAATGCTCCACCAGGCCCCAGACGTCTGATCTCACAGGATCATTTTATAGACGGTAATCTGAGGTCTGGAGACCATTAGAGGTTCAGCCTCCAAACGTTTCGTTATATGAATGAGAAACTGAAGCCCTTTGGCTTTCCGGAATTTCTGGACTCCGTTTTAAAAAACGGTGCTGGTGCTGTTTTTAAAGGAAGAAGTTAAGAATTCAAGAGTTCTCTAACAGGAAGCTTATGAGAGTACAATTTAGTGCCCGACCTTGTGAGAAAACAAACTGCAAATGGTAGTCAATGGAATATTAGGCAGCAGCAAATGTGTGACTTTAAAAAAAATATTTGGAAACAGGATCTGTGAAGGGATGGTTTATAAAAATGCATTGAAAAAAAATGGAGAAAATGCGGCACAATGGAAGAGACTGTGTTTTCCAACCAGATAAGGAGGTCCTTGGCCCTGGAGGGGCTGATGCACCCAGGGTAGTTGGCAGCCAAGCAGTAGGCCAGCCTCCAAATGATGACAGGAAGTGAGTCAGTGTAGAGGGAAGGCAGCAGGCTGAGTGGCATTGTCCTGGGTCCAACAGCACCACAGCACCTGGAAGCTTGGGAGACAGCAGATTCTGACCCGGAGTCGGTATTCCCAGCAGACCTCGGGGGAGTCTGTTCTTAGATTTACGGAATAGAGGATCGCTTCTTTAAGGTCTGTATCAGGTCCGTTTTATAGATAAAGTAACCGAGGCTGGGAGCTTTATGACTTTTGTTGTCAAGGAAGGAATATTAAAATGAGGTTTTGAAGAGCTGTGTTCTTCCCCAGGGATGACCACTGGCTTGCAGTGTGTCTTGGGAAGCCCAACAGGTGTCTAGGCAGTGACATTCTCATAGAAGTGTGGAGGCTGGGTGAAGGGCGACCCTCCCTTTCTTATTTGGGAACTTGGTGGCTCTCCAGGCCCCAGGCTCCCTGCAGCTCATTTCCAGTAGCTTCTCCTCCCATTCATGGTCTTCCTTGGCTGCTCTGGTGCCTCTTCTGGGCACAATACTGTCCTCGGATCAGAAGCCATTTCCAAGGCTGTTAAATGGCTTTTCCAAAAATGGTCACACTTGAGGCTACTCTTACTTACAGATATTGCTGTGGCTTTGTCTCTGATGTGGTAAAGAGTCTGTCCCTGCCTGGGGCAATTCAGGCCTCAGTGAGCACCTGGGAGGTCTATGAGATCAGGGCCTTCCTCGTGGATCATGAACCAGGCTGGCCCAGCCAGCCAGCCACCCATCCCTGGGAAAGTGCCTGTCTCTTCTCCCACACCACTCCTCTGCTCTGTGTGCATAATTACGCCTCAGCAGAGGCCTTGCCTATTAATGATCTGCCTAGTGAGCTGATGGGCCTGCCTAGCTGAGAGCAGTTTTTAAGAGTGAGCCATTCCAGGAAGAGAGATCGCGCCCCTTTCCCTGTTCCTGTGGCTATAGGAAGTTGGTGAGCCCAGATAAGCCATTCTGGGCAGGGTTGGAGATGCAAGGGGTGTGTGTGTGTGTGTGTGTGTGTGTGTGTGTATGTGTGTGTGTGTGTGTGTGTTTATGCAACCAATCCAGCTTCTGGGAAAGGATTCATTGTGTAATACTGGGGCTTCGTCCTGTGTCCCCTGGCTCAGGGCAGCCAGCCCAGTGGTGGCAGGGACACCTTGGCAGAGCATGCTAGTTCAGGCTTAGAGGGAACAGGCATGTGAAAGGGATTTGCTGGAACCAATGGGCTTGTCCTCCTGAAGGGGCTTTCCTGGGGGCTCACTGCTAATCTCCAGCTTTGTTCTTCTCTTTTCTAGCTCTGCCTTCTCTGAAATCCTAAATTCCTTTCCTTGCCATTTTGCTTTTACCCCACCCCCTTTCCCAATCCATACTCAGCCTGGCACAAGCCTCGCCCAGAGATGGTGAGATGGATTGAATTTCCTGTGCTGATGGAAGGGTGTGCATATTACCACGGACTCCTGAAAGGCACACTAAGATAGCCTTGGGAGGCCGAGGGCTTCCCTGAGGGGAGCCCAGGGCTGTGCTGTGAGTGGGGGGTGCAATCCCATGGAAGGGGTAGGCAAGGGATGCTTGCATGGTTCAGGAGAGGCATCTTTAGTATTTGGCATGTTAAATAGGGTTTGGAGACAAAGATGTCTGGACACAGGAAACTCATCTGCCCTGCCTCGAGCACTTATGGGAAGAAAGGGACTCAGCTTAGAGCTCGGGCTCTACAACTCCAGATTGCCTGGTCCTCTGTGCAGTCGAACCGCGGTTCTTCTCGGGGCCTTGCTGCCTCCAATGTCTTTTGAAGGCATCAATTTAATCTTGTTTTTGTTCCCACGTTCTTCATAAGTAAACTGCAGTAATGCCAGATGAGGAGACAGATGAGGGCCACATGTTCCAATCCCACCCCACCTCCCCTCTCAGGGAGCTCTAGCAGGGTGCAGAAAACCTATAAGCTGCCCAGTGGTTACCATGACATTCTGCTGTTCTTTCCAGGACTCCAGACTCTGAGGAAGCACGCCATGAAGACTCTCCTGCTGTGCGTGGGACTGCTGCTGACCTGGGACAATGGCATGGTCCTGGGAGAGCAGGAGGTCTCTGACAATGAGCTCCAAGGTAAGTAGGCTAAGCTGCTCTCCCTCTGGTGGATGTTGTAGTGCCTGGGCAAGGCCACCCCAAGTGCTGAGGGCTGTTTTCATTCTGTACCCTGGGTCTGTCCAAGCCCTCTGTTTTCTCTAAGTTCTAGTTCCCACCTTGGTGTTTTTGTGGTCAGGTGCCTTCTAGACACTGGCCTCTGTCTCAAGCCCCTCTGTTGACTGCCTGTCATTCATTTGTTCCCTCCTGGTCCCCTCACCTGGCTCTCTTACACTTCTTTCAAAACTGTGCCCAGACTCTTAGAAACTTTGTCCATCTCCCCTTTGTGTGACATCCAGAGTTCTTACCAATGTGTCTCCAAACTGATCCCCCTGGGAACCCGGTTCCACCAGTTTCCTTCTCTGGAAAAGGGCAGTGCAATTCAACATGAAGTAGTCACCTGAGAGCACCCTCTCCCTTTCCCCCATCTTCCACGGCTTTTCTGGAAACCTGCCTTTCCTCCCTCCTCTCCTAACCTCTTGCTCATAGCTGACCAGTTCTGTGAGGGTCTTCATTAAAAATAGTGTTATCTGATTCTCTGATATAGATACCACGGTGAGATGATTGCCGTTGTCAAGCTATTAGCTGTCCGTCACCTCAACTTACCGTTGGGTTCAGACACTTAAAATATATTTTCTCAGCACACTTCAAGGGTAAAACACATTGTCAACTACAAGCTCTGCTGGGAGCATTGACCTATAGGCTTAGTCATGCTGCTGCATCATTGAAACGCTTGCCCTTAGCTCAACACCCCCCCTCCCCTTCTCTTTGGATGTGTTCGGCAGTGACATCAGGTAGAACACAGTGGAGGTGTGGGAAAGGACACTTAACACAGGATAAGTAAGTGGTAGCAACGTGACATGATGTGTCATTGCCTTTATCACCCAGGACTGTGTCTTGGTTACGGTCTCCATGGTGTTTCCTGTCTCCATGGTGTCTGATGCCATTTCATTCATCTTCCGGTCACTGGCACCTGACACAGTGCATTGTAGCAAAGAAGTGCCAAGCCTGGGTTAACCTGAACTTCACAAAGATTGTATCCAAAAGGGCACTTTTATTATATTTTGATGCTTAGGAGGTTAACTATCTTTTTCTTTCTTTTCTTTCTTTCTTTTTTTTTTGAAATATCATCTGTGGTTGTTAGCTCCTTGGGGTGGCATGGTGGGGTCAGTCATAATATGGCTGCCCCTGTCTGTACCACTCCTATGTTTCTGAGCTGTGATGTGGAGTCTACCACGAGCCCTTTGATGAGACATAGAGGCAGGACAGAGGCCATAAGGACTACCATAGGCTTGGGGTGGTAGTGAGGGTATCTCAGCTTGACAGCCACCAACACTACCATCAGAGCATGGCTTTCTCACTGTCCCCTGGCTCCCAGGCTATTTCTCCAGCCATTTCTCCCCTCTCAACTCACTGTGCCTTCCTCTCTCTCACAGAACTGTCCACTCAAGGGAGTAGGTATATTAATAAGGAGATTCAGAACGCCGTCCAGGGAGTGAAACACATAAAGACCCTCATAGAAAAAACCAACGCAGAGCACAAGTCACTACTCAACAGTATAGAGGAAGCCAAGAAGAAGAAAAAGGTAGGGCCAAGCCTTGACTGAGCCCTGGCTCTCCCTGCTGGAGAGGAGGAGGGGACACGGTGGGCAGGCGCCTTGCTGGGTTGCCATGGTGTCCTAGTGCAGTCCTTGCAGGGCTTCACTAACGCTGGGCTGGTAATCTCAGGGCAAGCATACTCGCTTGTGGGAGCCTCAGGCTGAGGTCTTGGATCTTGTTTCCTTGCAACTCTGGCCCAGGGCCTGAAGCCCAGATTCATTTCAATAGGTCTTTCTAACCCTTGCTGTGGGTAGTGCATGGTGCAGGACTCAGGATGGGGTCATGGCAGTACCCAGCCACTTCCCACTCTTCTCTTCTGTATTCAAAATGACTTTTCACATGAATGTGCTTATTGCAATGTTTTAAAATCAATGTAAAAATCTTTGTAATCTATCCTTAGCCAGCCATTCATCCCTGCTCAGCTACGGGGGACAAGGAGCAGTTTTCAAAGCCCTTAGTAGAAGTTGAGGTTGTGAATAGTACCAGGCCCTCTAGAGACTGTGCTTCATCCTACTTGTGTGTCCCTACCTATGATAATGCTTAGTTTATAAGTTATAGACAGTAAGGTATGAACAGCCACAATAAAATAGAACAATTATAATGTTACACCATAGAGAAGGTTATGCAGATGTGATTTCTCCCACTCAAAATATCTCAATATTTCACCTCAGCCTCCACAATACTATTTTTAGACTGTGGTTGATCATGGGTAGCTAAGAACTGATAATGGGGGACTGCCCTGTTACCATTTGTTTAACTTGTCTTCTACATTTGAATATCTGTGTTGACTCTGGTACACCCGCCACACTCGCATGCACACACACACACACACACACAGACACACACAGACACACACAGACACACACACGAACTTATACACAGATCCATCCACTTTTTTTATTTTCCATATCGGTATGTAGATGCACATATTTGCTGTAAACTAATATCTCTTCAGGCAGAGAATTTAAATTTTTTATTTTGGCGATCCCCAGAGCCAATGACTGGGTCAGGGGCATGGTAATGAGTTTGATGGTTGATTTGACTTCTGATTGGATGCTTTGATTTGCATGTCAGGAGCCACAGTTCTAACAGAAAGATAAGACTGGCTTCTTTGGGGAGATGAGAAGAGATAGAGAGGCGGTGTAAGGGAGAGGTGGGGCCTGAGGAAGAGAAGGTCAGAGCAGCAGATTAGAGTGGACAGGGAAAACTTAGAGAATAGCAGGGCCTTGAGGGATGAGAGGCTCCTGAGGGCGTGGCGGGGATGGCACAACAGAAGGGCTAAAGCAAAGCCGTGGGCGACAGGGACACCATGTACACAGATCGGGGAGACTGGCTGAGTCTCTGTGTGGTTCACCTGGCCTTGTCCTCTCCCTGAAGGATGCCCTAGATGAGACCAGGGATTCTGAAATGAAGCTGAAGGCATTCCCAGAAGTGTGTAACGAGACCATGATGGCCCTCTGGGAAGAGTGCAAGCCCTGCCTGAAGCAGACCTGCATGAAGTTCTATGCACGTGTCTGCAGGAGTGGCTCGGGGCTGGTTGGCCGCCAGGTGAGGAGACACGTCCATGGCCTGGGTTCTAGGTGGGGAATGTGGAGAATCCATGAAATAGGCACCATTCCATATGCTGGGTACAGTTGATTAGCATTGCTTGACTGCATGCCTTTCTAGTGTCATGGTCGATTGGTGATGTCTGACACGAGTACAGTTGTAACTAATCACCACAGATATACGTGGAAGGTACCATCTCTTACAAGACCTTTAACCGGCTGGGTAAAATGGCCTCATGGTATGGCAGAATCCCGTGCTTGTATAGGGAAAGGGAATTAAGAATATTTAGTATATACGTGTGAGCTTCACTTGGATGGGACTCAGTAAAATTCACTGTTTCCTGAAGGCTGAGCAGCTAAGTGGGAGTGGCTGTCCTCAATGGCCAAAGATGAGACTCTTGAGCCTCTGAGTTTCGCAGTGAGAGGTGGATGGAGGGGCTGACAGGGTATCCAGGAGGCAGAACAATGGGAATGTGGGCCAGCTGCTGCATGGTCACAGGGGTATGCAGGCTGGAGTGCACAGTGCCTTACTGTACTTCTCTGGGTCCCAGCTCGAGGAGTTTCTGAACCAGAGCTCACCCTTCTACTTCTGGATGAACGGCGACCGCATCGACTCCCTCCTGGAGAGTGACCGGCAGCAGAGCCAGGCCCTAGACGCCATGCAGGACAGCTTCGCCCGGGCGTCTGGCATCATAGATACGCTTTTCCAGGACCGCTTCTTCAGCCACGAGCCCCAGGACACCCACCATTTCTCCCCCATCGGCTTCCCACACAAGAGGCCTCATTTCTTATATCCCAAGTCCCGCCTGGTCCGGAGCCTCGTGCCTTTCTCCCACTATGGGCCTCTGGGCTTCCACAACATGTTCCAGCCTTTCCTTGACATGATACAGCAGGCTCAACAGGCCATGGATGTCCAGCTCCATAGCCCAGCCTTCCAGTTCCCGCATGTGGATTTCTTAAGAGGTCAGAAAGCAATTATTGTCTTTCCAAGAAGGAACAGGAATCTCCGAGATGTTTAGGTTCTTCCAGGACATGTGCTGATTTTAAGTTCCTAGCAGCCCTTAAGGCTGATATTTTCTCCATTTGCAGGGTAAAGGAGCTAAGATAGGGGACATGGAATGCAGATGGCAAACCAGGCTGGTTCAGTTAGCACTTGTAGAGATTGGAGTCTGTGTTCTTTACAACCAACTCAGGTTGTAATCCAGCTGGGCTTCCTATAGGACCCCGGCTTTTCTTTCTTGGGAATTTGTGTGGTGTGGGAAACCTGCCCTTCCAGGCAATGAGTCTGAAATCATCTTAAAGAAGATGTTCATGGCTGTGACCTTAGCATGTAATGCCTGTAAGGATCAAATGTAATGTGGACACAAGAAACCACTGTCTGAAGAGTGATATTCTTCATTAGTGCTTTGTGTCTTAACGCCATGTCCTACACGGTATGATTTGCATTAGAAACATAAGAAGGCCTGGCACTCAGTACAGAGCTCTTGTAGCTCTGTTATCTAAGGATGGTTTATGTTGTCAGGACATACTCATGCTTTCTGGGGCTTGATGGCCAGTTAGGGAGTACCACCAGCCAAGGAGAATGAAGAACAGCCATGATGCCAGAAGGTACACGGCTGAGGGGATGTGGCAGGAGAGATCTCCTCAGATGGAGATGATGGGAAGTTAGGCAGTACCTGCTGAGAGCTGTGGGAATATCCTCAGGGAGCCACAGGGAAATCCCATGTCTACACGCAAACAGCTAAGCTGCATCTTGCCCTGATCATGGCACTGAGCAGAGGTGTGGAAGACTCTGTTGGGTGTCCTTCCAATGTGCCACATGCCTCATCCTGCCCTGCTTTCTCCCTCATGTCTCCAGAAGGTGAAGATGACCGCACAGTGTGCAAGGAGATCCGCCACAACTCTACGGGCTGCCTGAAGATGAAGGGCCAGTGTGAGAAGTGCCAAGAGATCTTGTCTGTGGGTGAGTCCGGGACCCAGTCTATAATCTGGCACTCTGGTCATCTGACTGTGGGTCAGCAGTGACTCCCTGGGACTGTCCTTCTTCAGAGACTAGCTCTTTGCCTGTGAGCTGTAGTCCTCGGGAGACTCCTCACCCTGGTGCACGGCCTACTACTCTCAGATCTAGAGCTTCATTATTTGGGAGCTGGGGTAGAACCCAGTGCCTCATGCATGCTAGTTGAGTGCTCTACCATCAAGCCACACCAGTTTTACTTAGAATCAAATTCAGGTGCAGATTGTTCTCAAATAGATAGGTGTATCTAAAGCGCCCACCACCTCCCTGGTGGCTCATGGCAAACCTTCAGTCCATGGTGGGTATCTCCATGGAATTTGACTGTAGCCACCAGCAATCCACAGCTTATTCCCCTGGCTACTGTGTTCGACAGTGCCAAGTACAGTAGACCCTGATTTTTAACTTCAGATTATGAAATCTTTGACAACAAACATTTTGTTTAACAAGTGCTCGCCACATGCTGGCCACTGTTGCAAACACATCACAGGTGCTTGTTCACAGAATGATCTTGTGAGCTGAGTACAGTCCATCTCAGAGAACGGCTAAGTGACTTATCTAAGATTACATGACACGAGGCATCTCACTTAGGCTGTGCTCATGAACAGCACGCTGAGATTTCTCCCTAGGGACTCTGAGCTATGTCCTTGTGACTGTAGTCCTTGGTATCCTGGCCACATTCTTTTTGATTAATTAGTCCCTCAAATAAGGAACTATTTTCCTTCATCAGTTCCCCAGGCAGTCTGGGTATGCTGGCACATCCCTATAATCCCAGCATTTGAGAGGCTGAGGTAGGAGGGTGATGAATCCGAGGCCAGTCTTGGCTACATCGTTAGGTTCTGTCTCATTGAAAACAAAGCAAAATATAACAAAACCAAAACTGTTCCCCACAGATTTGTCAGGTCTGGCTAGCAATCAGATGGCCCTGCTTTCAGTCCGGTCTTTACAGTGGCTCACAGAACACAGTACTCCCTGCTCAGATCACAAGGAGTTAATTGTACTCTTTGCTGTTCTGTAGTCATATGTGTAGTTGGCCGGGACAGACCTTCAGAGTCTGGTTAAATATTCCCAGCCTCACTCCTGCAATGTTAGGAGCCCAAGGGAAAAAAAAAACACCAGAGCTTTCAAAAGTTATAGCGTGAAATGAGAGACAAATACGTGTCCACACCTACAGGTTCTCCCCCAGGAAACTGACAGGATAGTTGAATGGCGGGTGCCTGAGCACAAAGGAGCCAGTCACCTTATAGACTGGATCTCTTACATCAGACTTAGACTTAGCGATCCTCTCAACAGTCTCTGTTTTCGTCACCCATTAGCTCTTATTCACGATGCTTACAATGATATGGACAGGCTCCACAGAGACCTCTCCCCTGGGACATCTTGATCCAGCCTTGTGGGGAGGCTCCACAGGGACCTCTTGCCTGGGACATCTTGACTCAACCCTGTGGGTGGACATAAACATGGCTAAGTATTTAACAGCATTTTGGCTTCTACCTGCCATGTGTCAAGAGCAATCCTCCCTCCATTGTGATGATCGGAAATATCTTCAGAACGTCTGGAATGTCCCCTGGTGGGTAGTGTGGTCACAGGTTGAGAACCATTGCTCTACACTGTCCTACCCTCCAGGACTTTTCCTCATTTGGGCTAAGAGTAGTAGTGCTCAGGTTAGTCCTTGAAGATCTCTTCTCACCTGTGCTTCGTGTCTCTAATCCTGTGTCTTGCCCCATGCAACATTTTATCTTATTTTAGCAGGAATGATTGCAGCTGCCACGTAGGGCCCAGAAGGCATCTCTCTTGTCTTGCTTAGTTTTGATATAGCCTCTCCTAGATGTTTTAAAGATAATAGAGAGGATAATAGGAGAGGGGTTAAAAACTGGTTTTCAGAAAACATGAACACTTTGTAGGACCCAGAAGCCTGATATCTGCAGTGTACTCATGGTCCAGAAGGGAGGATACCAGTTTTCCTGTTTTCTGCAGGAGCCTTCCTGGCCAGCTGTGGGTGGACAAGGGCAGGCAAGGACCGACCCTCAGGCACCAAACACCTGTGTTTTGTAGCCTTGGGACCTGGCTGTCTCTTCTACAGCTTGCGTTCTGGGAAAACAGTCTTTCCAAATCTCTCAAACATGTTTTAAAAAAAATAAGCTTAGAGAATATTCTAGAACCATGGTCTCAGGGGAGGAAGAGCTCAGGTTGAGGAGTTGAAGATGTGGGTTCAATCTGGATTCCACAGATTTCTTCCCCTATAGATCTGAGCAAGTTTCTTACTTCTGAAAACCTGTTTCATTACTGGCTAATCAGGAGTGTTGATGCTTAAATCAAACTAAGCATACCATACCTGGAGAGAAAGGACAGCCGGAGCAACTGATGTGTGTCTGGCACATAGTAGGTCCACCTGTGCCACACAGTAGGTGCATCTAAGTAACTAATGTTCCTCTTCTCTGTGGAGTGGCCAGTGCAACAGTAGGAGGAAGCCTCCTATTTGGAAATGAGTCCTGGGAGGAGCTAAGGGAGCAAGAGTGACTCTAGGTCGGAAAACATGGAGTAGTCAGCATTGGTGCTCCCCAGAGCATGGTCAGCAGCATTGTGACAGGTCACTGAGATTGGTCATGTCTACCACCCAAAGAGGATTTAGCTACGCTGCTCTGACACGGGCACCATTGTATCCCAAAGCATGAAGGGCGCAGCGCCCTGATTTCCATGGCGGGGGGTGGGGGGGGGAACTGTTTTGTGAGAACTGTAAGAACTGGTTTGTAGACCTCCATTTAAGAGTTCCTCTGCTTCAGATTTTAGCTGCTGGAGCTGGTTCCCAAGAGCATTTTCACCCCCCTCAACATCCCTTTCATGCTTCTGCCTTCTGTTTCCTTCTTCTCTGGACAGACTGTTCAACCAACAATCCTGCCCAGGCTAACCTGCGCCAGGAGCTGAACGACTCCCTCCAGGTGGCTGAGATGCTGATCCAGCGGTACGATGAGCTGCTTCATTCCCTCCAGTCCAAGATGCTCAACACCTCATCCCTGCTGGAGCAGCTGAATGACCAGTTCAACTGGGTGTCCCAGCTGGCTAACCTCACACAGGGCGAAGACCAGTACTACCTTCGGGTCTCCACAGTGAGTTGTGTCCCAGGCATTTGATGAGGCTAAGGCCCATGTGTGATCCAGAGGGGATGTGTGTCTCTTAGACGTGTGGTGGGGCAAAGGCACCACACAAGATCACCTACGATTTACACCAGCAGGGACTAGGAAAACCGTATGCACGGTATAGCATTGAAATGCCTTCACCCCTTCAGGTCAAATATCCAGGTCTCATTTCCAGGATGAGGGAAGACAGAGGTTCTGTAGCTTGCTAAGAACGAGGAACTTTGGGCAGTTTCTCTGGGTCAGCCTGTCAGCCTGGCTGTAAAGCTACTTTCTGCCCAGGGCCATGCTGAGTGCCACATGAATTGGTTCACTGTTAGCCAGTGAGAACGGCTTCCTTTAGTGTGTGGAGCCCCCACTCCCCACCTTCTTTTGACCATAGACTGTCTAACATTTGTACAAAGCAAACACTGGGTCTAGGTGTCATGGTAAATTCTTTTAAGCCAACACTGAAGAAACTGAGGCAGGAAAGTAGAGAACTTGAGCCCAGGCTGGACTATATAGTGAAGGCCTCTCTCAAACAAAGCGAAACAAGAAAATAAGACAAGAAAACATTTAAAAATTATTTCTAGTTTCTGGAGTGCCTACTTGGCTAGTCATTTTCAAATAACATTTATCCCTTCAAATCGAGATAGTTTTGCTTGGAATTCTCTAGACATCTTGAATAGTGACACATAACCTGAAGATCCATATTTGGTTGAAGGAGCAAAGAGAAGCGCCATATCTTTTGATAAAGAAGGGCACACTCTGTAGACATCGTGTAGAGACACCTCTCCTGTCTTCTTCTAGGTGACAACCCATTCTTCTGACTCAGAGGTCCCTTCTCGTGTCACTGAGGTAGTGGTGAAGCTGTTTGACTCTGACCCCATCACCGTGGTGTTACCAGAAGAAGTCTCTAAGGACAACCCTAAGTTTATGGACACAGTGGCAGAGAAAGCACTACAGGAGTACCGCAGGAAAAGCCGGTAAGCAGGCAACCTTTCTGTGACCCGAGGCGCTGATAAACAAGTCTTTCCGAGACCCTGGAGGGCTGGAAAGTCCTCAGGAGTCCAAACAAGGAGCAGAATATGCATTCTAGGCGCAGGGCCTATCCCTGAGGCCAGAGCCCATGGGTAAGCTAGGAAAACCCCGGGGATTTTATTTTCTTTGCTCTGGGAAATGTTTTTCCTTAGTGGATGTGGATACTGGTGGCTGCTTCTTGGGGGATATTGATTTTCTTCTCCACTCTTCTCTTTTTTTTTTAAGCGCGGAATGAGGCAGAAGCATCGGCTTTCCTATATGTGGGAGTCTCAAGGAGGAATCTCCCAGCTCCCCGAGGCTGCTGCAGACCCCTAGAGAACTCCACATGTATCCAGGCGAGTAGGCCTCCACCCCAGCAGCCTCTCCTTCCTCTGGACTCTGTACTCTAATGCCTACACTTGCTGCTCTCGGGAAGAACTGCTTCCCCCACGCAACTAATCCAATAAAGCCACCCCGCGATATGTGTCCCTTGGGTCTGTTTTCGTATTTGAGTCCCCTGTAGGCCGCACACCTTCGGTTGGTATGGAGAGGAAACAAGGAAATAGCCGGGTCAGCTGCTAAAGAGCTTGCCATACAAACATGAGTTTGGTAAAGTCAGGCATGGTGGCACCCTCTGGTCACGTCTGCACTGTCAGAACAGAGGAAAGAGGGTGCCTGGAGCTTGCTGGTGTTCGGTGAGCCTCAGGTCCCAATGAGAGACCTTGTCTCAGAAAACATGGGTAGAAAGAGACCAAAGAATGACACAAGGTCACACATGTAAAAGAAATCTTTAAATTAACATCTGAGACTGTATAGGAGTCTTCATACACTGTAGAGTACTCATAACCGTGACAGCTCGGGGAACCTCCGGCTTTGGGAGAGAGATATGTTCCAATAAGCCACCAAGGCAAATTCCTGAAGCCAGAGGCTTTTCCTTCCCATTACAACATTGTCCACGAGTTCTGGCAAAGTGGGGCAGTCTCCCAGAGAATGCACTGAAATCGAGGCAAAGAAAGAAAACATGGGTGTTTTAATGTGTAACTGAAAATCCCCTGTGGAAACTGGTCAGCAGGAAGCCAAATACAGAGGCAGTTTTCTTTTTATTTGTAAGAACTTGGAAACCTGGGGCACCTTCTGGACCATGACGTCTCTCATCACTGTCCCTCCATAAAGTCTTTACCTCGTTATTGTTTGTTTATCTCTCTGCTCGTGTGATTTTTAGTTCATTCATCCACCGCTCAATCTGAAGTTAGGTTATCTGTAGTACCAGGTGCTGCCAGCAGATGACGCTGACCAGCCACAGTCTACATCTCTATTGAGCCCATCTAGTGTGTTACCTGCAGGAGTTGGGAGAAGCCATTGTGAACGACACTGTAGAAATGACAGGGGCCATGTATTTGCTAGTCCTGAAGCTAGTAAATAGCAGATTCGGAAACCCAAGGAATTCACTGTGGCCTTACAGCTGCCAAGGCTTCTAGCTCAGTGTCCTCTCCAGACCCAGTCTTGCCAGGCATTTTCTAGAAGAGCTTGGTCAATTGAATATGCACAAGGAAAATGAAGAGACTCAGTGTTAGGACCTCTGTGTTACCGAGCCTGTCAGTGAGATAACAAAGGATACGCTGTGACGAGCAAGCTCACACGGTTCAGAATGAACTGTTTGCCTTTGCGCTGTTTCCAGTTTCACCTGATACCAGTATTCCTGTTGTGTTCCTCACTGGCTACGACATTACTCCATGATGACCTTGCCCAGGCTCGGTGACCCTCCCTGACCCAAATGGAAGTAGATGAGGATTCATCTAGGCTTGGAATGGAGCTACTATAGGTTGGGGTACCATGATCCGACTGCCCTCTCTATGACTATGTTATAAGTTGGCACCAGGCACCCTCTGTGACCCTATCTTTGCCTCTAGTCTCTCTGGGTGTCCTAGGGCACGTCACAGGTTGGGGTGACTGAAGGACCACTTTTCCCAGCTCATGTTGACAAGGTGCCATGACAACTTTGCCAATGACATCGGATGTGTAAGGCCACAACGACCAACAGGAACTAAAGATAGAAGGAGTTAGTTCTTTGAAACCTGAAGGCCTCCAACATAACATGCTACTGCCTTTCTCTGGCTATGTAAAGATATCTTGTCACTATTAAACATATGATAAGAACTTGAAACCAACAACACACATGGGTGGCTCCTTTTTGAAAAATTCTGAAGATGCCTGGGCTTTTCTTAATCTCTGTAAGGCCTTGTCTCACAGAGAAGACATCAAGGCAAAGCTGACGTTATCAGCTTCTGGCGACCTCTGTTCCCCATTGCCTGGTGATGTCATGTCTCTTTGGGGATTCCCATTCCAAGACCCCCTTGGCCCATGTGGTTAGGCTCTTTGGATTATATTTCTGGCTTCCAGTCTCCCATTCTTATGATAGAGTCTATCTCAGGCAAAACCACAGGCCTTACAGGGACCAGAGGACCTCCCTTGTAAATCTGAAGCCAGCCATAGTGTGCAGAGTCCAGTGTCTGTTCCTTTCTCTAAGACATTCGAGGTCAGTGTTTGGCTTGGGCCATGGCAGGCACACACATTTTCTCCCTTGTACAGCTTGTCCCCCTCCTGGGGACAGCTTGAGGCCCAGTCCAGAGATCTGCAAGAGACTACCGTGGAATGACTAGCTCGGTTCCTTCCCCTGAGCTCTGTGTTCCTTCCTTCTGTTGGTGAGTTTCAGTGACTTTCGCCAGTCACCTCTACTAGTCTGCCTTTCTGGCAGGTCACATACAATGTCTTAGTTAAGGCTCCCAGGTGGCAGTTTACCATTCTCTAGTTTTGGTTGCTTCCTGTTGCTTTGACAAAAAGACCCCCAATAAAAGCAACTGAAGGGAGAAAGCTTACCCTGGCTGGTAGTTCCAGACACAGTCCAGAGAGCTTCATCTCCTAATAGTTCCACAACCTCCCCCAAACATCTTCACCACCTGGAGACCAAATGGTCAGGCATGTGAGCCTGTGGGGACATGCACAACTGGGCCGCCCATCAGGTGGTCTGGTCAACTTGTCTAAGTTTGTCCTATCCTGAGCCAGAGACTCCAGGGCACAAGGACCATTTGTCTTTAGCTTCTAAGTGTCCCCTGTATTCAGGTTTGGCAAGAACCTCAGAGTGAGGAGCAGCATGCCACGGGAGCTTCAGAGCTCTCCTGGCCCCTCTTTTTCTCGTCTGCATGCCTGAAGAGTATAGGGAGCACCAGGTGTCTGGGGAGAAGTGAAGTCACCTCTCACCCAAATTCAGCTTGGGGAGCTGATGCTGTTCTATGATTCTAGTTACCCTCCCTCCCTGCTCCACCCAAGACATAGCACACACTGGGCCTCATCTGTTAACTCGATTTTAAATTCTTGCATGCTCTAATGATTTCTGCCCACTTTATTAGAGTCCAGGCTTGGCAGACAGGCACATACCTCAGTACCCATGAGTCCCCACAGACAGAGAGGAGGCTAGTGTTTGCCATCGGGAACAGAAGAGCTAGTTCATCATTACTTCAGGTTCCGCTGATAGGGAGGCTACTGCCAAGATGGAGCTCAGCCAATGGGAACTCGGGACAGACGAAACAGGAGAAAAAAATGGAAGGAGGGGGAGATGGAGGAGCCCAATGTAGGGGCTCAGCACACATCACTCGGGGTCAAAAGGGTAGTGCCATGAGAGTTTTCAAGACAGTGTTGTTCAGTTGTCATGACACCAGCTCAAAGAAAGAATAAATCACATTCATCAGAAGCCAAAACTCCTAAGGGCACACGAGTGTTCTGGCAATCAGAATGTGTATTTCCAGAACACTGGGTTGGCCAAGCAATCCAGGAATTGAAGAATTAAGAGACTTGGAGGTTTCAGATCTGTTGTTGGACCAAGTCCTTTCCTGTCTATATGTCTTCAACAGAATGCTCACTCAGTGCGTGGAGTTTAAGAATTGAAATGTAAACTATCTAAAGTATGCAGTGTAAAAGGAGCTCCTGTCTCCAGCAGCGGGAGATGCTCTCCCCAGGCTGCTGCTCCCACTGCAGCCTTCTGCTGCAAAAATACCGTTTGTAGGACGAGTCAGTGTGAAGTAAAGTTGGAGTTTGGTAAACACAGAAGGAAAGTTTGGGACTTGTTAAGAAGCGAGGGGGGATTGGGACATTTGGGATGCCAATAAATACAATAATTAATTAAAAAGAAGACAGTCCATGCTTGTTTAAGGACAGGGATAGAAAGACACGGAGCCAAGGAAAGGACATTTGAGGAAGTGAGGGCTTTTCAAGAGTGGAGTCACTGGGATTTTGGATAATCCCCTTTATTGAGCAAACTTAATGGAATGGGGGTTGTGAGTTAAAACAGGTGGGAGGTTCCATGTGTGGATTTTTCCAGAATAGGGTTCACCTCTATTTGTCCTCTTATGGGGCTTTCCAGATGTGTTATGGCATCAGATGGATAAAGGGAAAGACAATCTTACAAGCCCAGAGGTGGCAAGCTGCCATTCTAGCAAACCAAGGACAGTCAGGAGGCATGCGGCTCAGCCATGCTGGTCCCAGCTGGGTTTGGGTAGCCGTGTTCTTCACTGACTGAGTGATAACAATGTCTTGATATCAGACAGTTCTGTGCTTTTTTTCTTTAAGCAACAAGTAGCTGGCCTTTCTCCCTGTGCTTAGGCAGCCTGTCTCATCCTTCCTTACTTTGGTTGAAGAGTTTAAAGCACCTTTAGTAGCTTGCTTTGAGATATTGACAAGGTTCTTTACATCCCTGAGCCTCAGTTTCTTCTGTGGAAGGTCAGGGGTGGAGTGATTTAGACCTGGAGATTTCCAATGCCTTGGGGTTTAGTTTTCTATTATTTTCCCCCACAAAAGAGTTATTTTTACTTGTGTGCTTGTATGTGTGCCTATGGGTTTGTGCACATAAGTGCCGACACTCAGAGTCTGGAAGAGAGCTAGAGCCCCAGTGGTTGTAAGCCTTCTGATCCTGTGCTGGGAATCAAACAAAGGTCTTCTACAAGAGCCATGCGTGCTCTTACACTCTGAGCCCTCTCCCCAGCTTCACATTTACTCTTGTTAGCGGGACCAATCCATTTCAGAGTGCCCAGAGAAAGGCAACCAATGAATACACCTATAGCAAGGGATTCAATGTTGGGCACAGGTACCTGTGATTTCACAAGTCCCAGAATGCAAGGCAGCCCAAAGGCTGCAAACTCTGGCTGGACTTAGTGTGGACTCTTGAGGCCCTAAAGCTTCTCTCAGTGGGGATGTCTAAACTTTTGGCTTGTCAATGTGGCATTGTTATCCACAAGAGTTCACACACGAGAAACAGGCTATTGAGTTAAAAAAAAACTGATTTAAAAAGTCATCATATTTTAAGTAAGCTTCTATATTTAACTGTTTGTTATTGTTGGTACTATTAGTTATGTGTCATTGTAGCTTCATCTGCCCTTCCCTAATGTGCAATAATATTGATCCTTGATCATTCATTCCCTAAGATGCAATGACATTGA